TCACTGAGCACACCCAAATCACCCTGCACTGCACACACCCATGGACACTGCTCAACACACTGCTGCTCACTGAGCACACCCAAATCACCCTGCACTGCACACACCCATGGACACTGCTCAACACACTGCTGCTCACTGAGCACACCCAAATCACCCTGCACTGCACACACCCATGGACACTGCTCAGCACACTGCTGCTCACTGAGCACACCCAGCTCACCCTCTCTGCCCACTGCCCACATGCCAGGGCAAGGCTGGCAGCCTGACACCACACTGCCCTGCAGTTGCTCTCACAAAACCCATTAACATCAAGAATCAGATATGGTGAGTGAAGACACTCCTGACTCTGCAGGATTCCCATAAAAACAAGCTTTTCCAGCTCATGGAGTAGGAATGACTGAATTCTGATACTCAGGAATCCAATACAAGAGATCTACTGCATGGTACAATTAAAATTAGAGAAGCTGATCAAACCTATTTTTATCATGAACAAGAACAGTAACATTTGATTCTGAACAAGCATCATAAATTATGCATTTATTTCCCTAAGAACGAGCAAGAGTCACACTGATGTCACATGAAGCAGCTGCTCACCAAGGCCACTCACCTTCCTGGGTAGTGAGTGAGGAGCTGAGGCAGAGGACATCCCCCAGCACCACGTCTGGGAGCTCAGGGAAGATGGCATGTTGGACAGGCAGGGGCACATAGTCTGCAATGCCACTGTGCTCTGCATCCCACACCCGCAGCAAGGTCAGACCCACGTTCACAGTCCGCACCACAAACGTGTTGTTGGTGGCTCCTTTCCCAATCTGCACAAAGTCATCTCTGCAGACAAAAGGAAATGCTTCTGTATCAAGGAAGGTTTGCTCATAGTAGGTACTGAACTCTTTTTAGGTGGCTGACTGCTTGTTTCCAGCAACAGCCATCTTCTAGTGGAATCCGACAAAGAAAGGAAATTATAAAAATTATTTAGGTGCTACTGAGGCAAATTTCAGTTCTCACATCATTATGTTGAGGAAATACTGAGGTTGTAATTATACATGAGAACTACTTCTTAATTTTATGAATTGTAGAGCTTTAGGGTGACATAATCTGCCTCTTTTCCCTTTTCTAAGGGAGAAAGAAAGTGAAGAAATTTGACCACCAATATGCAGCTTCTCAGACTTAACTTTACAAAGCCAAATCCCACTGGATTGCGAGTTCTGGTGTTTACCCACATTCAGCACTCCCAAACACAGTGACACAGGGAGCACTCTGCCCAGACTGGCACCCTGGCAGCACCACAGAGCCCCTGCAGGTCCTGGCAGCAGCAGAGCTGGGTCCCTGCAGTGCTGCACTAACAAGCAGGGCCTTTCTGGGGCAGCTCTGCAGGGGAAGGCAGGGCAAGGTTAACTCAGGGGTGTCTGTATGCTACAGGAATTTCTGCATTGACACAGAGAAAATCTTGGATTCAACCCTTTTTTTTTCCTTTCTCACCACGATCAGTGGTTGTAAGCACAAGGTGCTCTGCAGAATACAAGCCATGTTGCAGTAAGAGAATTAGTGGTATCCACTTATGAGCACAGAAGGTGGTTTATAACTTTGAGGCAGAGACCCAAAGGCCCTTTGAGGCTTGGCTCTGCTGGGCAGAGGTTGTACCAGCAGATCTGAAGAGACAGCCCCTGATCCAGAACGTTCCCCACCTTACGTAAGCCCTCAGTGAGTCCCTGGAACAAAGCTCTGGGAAAGAGGCAGCTGAGCAAATGCTAATGATCCCTTGTTTCTCTAGGGCACTGCTGTGTGCAGTGGGGTGATTCACTCAGAGCAGAGCACAGCTCCTGCAGTCCCACTGGGATCAGGCTTATCTGGGCAGCCTTCCATGGTCAGGGAATATCGATTGCTGATGGGAACTCTCCTTCCTGCTCCAGTGCCTCTGGAGACCTCAGAGACAAACCCCTTTCTTTTCTAATCCCAGCTCAAGCTGTATCTTGACTTGGTATCTTCAGAACAATCTGTGTGTGTTTGGCTTTTTCTTGTTGTCTGCAATTACCACCCCTGACAGACACTCACCTGTTGGTTGCCAAGCTGAGCACAGAATTATGTGAATGGAAAGTATCTCCAGAGTTATCATGAAAATGGACAGTGAATGTCAGTGTCACACCCAGGGGCAGAGCCAGCAGGGCCTCTTTGTTCTGTGTGAGCAGGATGGGACTCATGGAGATCCTCAGGTATGAGATGGGGCACACCTGCAAACATATCAGCAGTGAGAAGCAATGTTAAATTGCTTTTTATGATGCCTCCATAAAAATAATCTAAAATCTTATTGTGCAAAGATACAAAGCTTTGTTTCTGAACCATGTTTAGCCATGTGCCAGTACAACACAGAGCTGTTTTATCAGTATTTATATTTCACAGGTTGAAAGGGGCCTCTGGAGACTGTCTAGTCCAGCCCCCCCAGCCTCCCTGAGAAGCTGTGTTCAACAGCCACCCCAGTAAGAAGTGCTGTCCTGTGATCAGTCAGAATTCCCTGTGGTCCATTCCTGTGTTCCCCATGCCCTGTCCTTGAGCACAGCTCAGAAAAGCCTGGCTCTGTCTGCTTTACACCCTCACAGCAGATACTTCTTAGCCTCTTTTTTTTTTTTAATACCACTGAGAACTGAAGCAATAATCATGTAAGAACACACATCACACACAGACATTACTATCCTACAAATTCCAACTGTTAAGGTTCCCTGGATATGCAAGAGAGCCAGTGGCCCCTAGACCTCTCCCAGTAATTCTTGAAATAAAAGGTGCAATTCATTCCCCAGTTACTACAAGAGGAGAAGCTCACAGTGGATGTGGGAGTAAGGGGGTGCAATGGTCCCTGTTCCCAGTTCCCAGGGATGGAATAGTCCCTGTTCCCCAGTTCCCAGGGATGGACTGGTCCCTGTTCCCAGTTCCCAGGGATGGACTGGTCCCTGTTCCCAG